TTTTTTTTAGATGAATTCTTGTATTAAAAACCCCAAAATTCTTCTGTTGAAGTGTTCAATTGAGTATCTCTACAGAGAAGAAACAAAGTTTACTTGCATCGATCCTATTGTGCTTCAGGTAAGAACTTACTATTGAAAATAATAATCTGGAGAGATGTTTGTGTACTATGATACTTAAAAACTCTTATTTTGACTCATTCTAGTTGATTAAATTGGATAGACAAAGAAACTTGATTGCTCTTGTTATATTTTACAGAGTTACTATAAATGACACTTTTCCTTTAGAACTAACTTACATAAAACCTCTGTCACTCATTTTTAAAGTTTCAATATGATAAAGGGACCACATGCCTCTTTAGGGGATACATGGAAGACAAAGTGAAACTCTAAACACTGGTTTTCCTTTCTCACTTCGGCCACTGATTTACTGTGGGAACTCCTCTAACTTACCAGGTCCCTAAGGAAGTGTCTGGTTTGTAATATGGTCAATTCTACTAAAACACATTTCCTAAACATTAATTAGCTTCTATGTAGTAGGCAAATGGGAATAATATCAGATGGAAGTTGTGTTGGTTACGGTGTATGTTTTCCTATCCAAGGTCTAGGAACCCCACCAATAGCTTCAGTAGGATTATAACCCTGGGAAGGAAAACAGCCTCAGCTCAGTTGTTAAAAAAAGGCAGGAGCTCATTTGACTGTTTTTGGAAATTAAAAGTGAATAGGGTTCTCTCTCCAGAGAGGCTCATCTAGCCCTGGATGGCCTGTGGTAACTCTACTGCTCAGAGCTCCATTTCCAGTTGTAGAGTGGCAGCTGTTTTTGTGCATTTTAAAATTTCCTCGATCCAACCTCTGGCCATACTGTGCTGTATGCCTGGGCTATACAGGTTTCCTCTTAAAGGTACCATTTTATTTTTTAGTGCTGAGGAAGTGAAGTTGCAGAGGTTTAAGTTTTCTGGCCCAACCCTTTTCTTCCATAAATGCTGATTTTTAAAAATTGTTTTATTTATTTATTTCTTTGAGACCGTATTGCTTTGTTATCCCAGGTAAAGTGTGCAGGCTTCATCATAGCTCACAACAACCTCAAACTCCTGGGCTCGAGAAATTCTCCTGCTTCAACCTCCCAAGTAGCTGGAACTACAGGCATGTTCCTTGATGCCCAGCTAGTTTTTCTATGTTTCATAGAAATGAGGTCTCACTCTTGGCTCAGCCTGTTCTCAAACCTTGGAGCTCAAGCAATCTTCCTGCTTTGGCCTCCCAGTGTGTTAGGATTACAGGCATGAACCACTGCGCCTAGCCTCACAAATGCTATTAATTTTAGTCTGTGGCCATTCAAAATGAGAGGTTTTCAGGAATGTGTTTATGATAGTATAGTAGAAACACACCATGTTCCAGAAACATTTAGGAAAAGCATTATTTGAAAATTTAGAGGTAATCACATTTTTCTAAGAGTGGTAGGAGAAATCACTGAATTCATTGATTCAGTAAATTCATAGATACCAAGAAGAAAAACGGAATTGTAGTGAAAGGCACAGTGCTTTATAAAACTCTACTATATTATTTAATGGCCTCTCTTATCTGGGACTCTTTACTTTTTAGATTTCAGTAAAAGTGAGGGGTTTTAAGTGATTTATACCAGCTTTTCTTCTATGACTTCTCAGAAGAGAACTTAATGGGAGTAAGGGGAAACACCATTGTTATTGCTCATGGAATGTAAGATACTTTGATAAATCTCACAGATATTAGCAGAAGACTTTAACAAGATTAGATCACAACTGCATGGATTGTAAGATGTGTGTTGTTGTGGAGATGTTAAGATGCATAAAATCATATGTCTCAGAGTCGCTCAACTAGGGTAATTGAAGTCCACAGGTGTTTGTTTATAAAAAAAGTTATACTTAGGCCTTGTGCAGTGGCTGACTTCTGTAATCCTAGCACTCTGAGAGGCTAAGGCTGGAGGATTGCATAAACTCAGGAGTTCAGTAGGAGCCTGAGCAAGAGCAAGAGCAAGAGCAAGACTCTTTCTACCAAAAAAAAATTAGCCGAG